ATAATCCAATTAATTTACACGTATTGGGATTTTTTTTTAGCAAAGACATGAAGCAGAAAACATTTTGCCTAAATTGATAAAGAAATTAGATTTTTAACATTTTTTTACTGGATACATTTTATAGCAAAAAGTCAAAGATATAGGTTTTTTTTTTTTTTCCAAAAATGTTTTTTTTTATAGCGCAAAAAATAAAAAACGGAGAGGTGATCGAATACCACCAAAAGAAAGCTCAATTTGTGGTAAAAAGGACATACATTTCATTTATGTATAGTTAAAGTAATGCAGCGCTGTAACGCAAAAAATGGCCTGGTCAGGAAGGGGGGTAAATCCTCAGGAGGGCAAGTGGTTAAGATAAAAAAAAAAACATTTTATATATCTATGTCCTCTCCTTTTCCTGTGTGCAGGGTAAGAGAGGGGAGAAGAGAACCAGAGCTGTGCACGGCTTCATCTGTTCTCCCCTCTCTTCCTCTTCACACAGGAATTCTAATAGCAGCAGAAGCCATTGGCTCCTGCTACCGTCAATCAAATGCCATGAGGAGGAAGTGGGGGGCGGGGCTAGGTCCCGCTGTGTGTGTCTTTGGAGCGTGCCTCCATAGACACACAGCTCAGGAGCAAGCAGACACTGTGTTGCTATTGGGATAGAAGAAGAAGAGGAGGAGGCAAGATCATTGGTGGGGGAGAAGGATTGGGACTGCTCTGTGCAATACCATTGCACAGAGCATGTGAGTATAACATGTTTGTTATTTTAATAAAATAAAAGTAGACTTTAGTAACACTTTAAAATGTAGCTTCACTTTTGTAGAGCTAAAACAAAATCTGTCCTCACCAAGTCAGGTGTATACATACTGTATTTAGTAAATGATATTGCATTGTCTTTTCCTGTGTTGTGTTGAAATTGACAGATTACAATCGTTTCCTACATCCTGAATGCTAAGTGGGTGGGTCTGTTTGCTACTGGCACATGATCAGTCTCATTGTTATAATGACAGAATAACTGCTGGGAAATTTAGTGAGACAGGCTCTGCAGCAGTTTCCATATCTGAGAACTTTTGTAACCCTGTAAGCTGTAGCTTCTACTATATTCAGCTAATCGACAGGCACCGGAGACTGGGTAATCATATTTGATAAGAGACAGAGCCAGAGATATCCAAAATTACATTCCTGGGGGACTTCTGTACAGACATAGTACACAGAATGTTCTAATGTCATTATTCTTGTGTTTGGTTACAAAGCAGCAACAATTGAAGTTTGTTCTTTCTCACCTATATGTATTTTTTTTCTGTTGTTGCATTGAACTGTATTAGGCTACAATTGTTCTGTAGTATGCTGACAGACAGTGGTGGTTTACGTGCCACTTCAAATTTGGAATCTCCCTGTCCTCCCCGCCTGTTTGCATAGTTAGTCTGGCTGAAAAAATATAAAAGTCCATTCAGTTCAACCAAAAAAAAAAGTTATAATCCTATACCCACAGTTGATTCAGAGGAGGGCAAAAAACCCAGCAAAGCATGATCCAATTTGCTCCTGCAGTGAAAAAAATTCCTTCCTGGTCCCCTGAGAGGCAATTGGATATTCCCTGGATCAACTTTACCTATAAATGTTAGTATCCAGTTATATTCTGTGTATCTAAGAAAGAATCCAGGCCTTTTTTAAAGCAATCCACTGAGCTGGCCAGAACAAACTCTTGAGGGAGTCTGTTTTACATTTTCACAGCTCTCACTGTGAAGAAACCTTTCCGTATTTGGGGATTAAATCTCTTTTCCTCCAGATGTAAAGAAGGCCCCCTTGCCCTCTGTGATGACCTCAGGGTGAATAGCTCTACACCGAGTTCACTATATGAACCACTGATGTATTTATACATGTTGATCATATCCCCCCTTAATCTCCTCTTCTCAAGAGAGAATAAATTCAGTTCCTCTAATCTTTCCTCATAGCGGAGCTCCTCCATGCCTCCTATTAGTTTGGTTGCCCTTCTCCGTACTTTCTCCAGTTCCCCAATGTTCTTTTTGTGAATTGGTGCCCAAAACTGAACTGCATATTCCAGATGAGGTGATACTAATGATTTGTAAAGGGGTAATATGATATCTCTCTCTGGAGTCTATACCTCTTTTAATACAAGAGAGGATTTTGCTCGCTTTAGAAACCGCAGCTTGGCATTGCATGCCATTATTAAGCTTGTGATCTACCAGAACTCCCAGATCCTTCTCCACTATTGATTCCCCCAGTTGTACCCCCCGTAGTATGTTTAGTGTTAGTTAGTTCAGTCATAGCTAGACCCTGTTTCTCCCAAGTCCTTTCTTACCCTAGGTTCACACCTAAGTGTTTTCCACAGCGTTTTGCAGAAATGGACTACAGTCCATTTAACATGATTTCCTATGGGACAGGTTCACATCTCTTTTCACCCAGTGCATTTTTTTGGAAAGGGTCAGGGACTTTTTTAAACTCAAAAAGTTGCATTTTTGGTTCTATAGACTTCAATGGAAATGCTGCAGAAAAGCATGTAGTGCGTTTTTTTATGTGTTTTTGCCGCGTTTTTGATGCATTTTAAATCTGCCTAGCAACAAGGAAAAAAGCAAACCGCATCAAAAACACTGCAAAAATGCATGTGCAAAATGCAGTGAAGAAACGGATCAAACGCAGACTGCATAGGTGTGAACCTAGCCTCAGTTTGCATTAGTTCTTCATCAAGACAGGGCTTTTGAAACTCATTTGGGAGAATACAAGTGCTACTAGTTTTCTGGCACTACAACCCTTTAAAATGGCCTGTGTCACATTCAGAAATCCCTACCGCCCATTTCGTTAATTTGCGGACACGTGCAGCAGATACAGGTAGTTCTTAATAGCGCCACTTTTACAAAGTGGCCCAATGATTGCATCAGATTCAAAAATAATTACCTCCAGTTTGAAGATAACAAAACTGGAGGATATTAAGGACTACTCTAACTTGGCATACAGAGACAGGCAGTGCGCCTGTCCCTGTACGTAGTGTAGCAGAGCGGCATATTTGATGTGCTACTCTCTCCCTGTCATTGGTTGTTGAGGATGCTATCGGTTTCACAGCCAACGGCATTCTAGCAATCAATGATGTTGCAGTGGGCAGAGCCCAATGGGGAAGCTGAGACACTAGTTTCCCAACAGGTCCACTCTCAACTTTTAATTGACAGCATGTAGTGGGCGGATCCTATAACAAATAGGCTTTCAATCACAAGGGAAGTGGACCTTATGGAAAACTAGTGTCTGTGAACCCCCATCAGAATTAGCCCCCCCAAGGTATGGATTTTCCCTTTAAAGGCTTAAGCTGGTCATACATGGGTCAAATTCCGAAAGAATTTTCTTTCGAAAATCTTTTCTACAAATTTTCGTTTGAATTTTGCACCATTAGTGGACTACAGCAGTGGATGATTTTCAAGTGACCATCGAATTTGAGAGATCAGGCATGTTGAAAATTTTTTGAAAAACGAACAAATTTCTAATCAACGGTGGTAGAATCGTGCAAGAAATATAATCTAAAAAGAAATGAGCATGAGCTGTGACCTGGAAAAACTGAAAATTCTTGGCCATGAAAATTCTTTTCTGTAGCAACATGAGGTGAAATTGAAGGCTTGGTTGGTTGAATTTTGAAATCAATGGTGGCACCATCACATTACGGAATGCATACAATTTCTGATTTTCTAAAGAAAATTCATTTGGAATTCAACCCATGTCTGGTCTGCATAGGTTGACCTGTTTCAGAAAATACTCTATGCAGTCATGGGACCCCATTGGGTAAACATTAAACTGTGCAGCTTTGTAAAATGTTTGTTAATTATATTGTCATACCTGTAGGCTATTTGGGCACTCCGGATTCATCCTGTAGTGGCTGTCTGTATTTTAGTCACTTAGCCGACTCAGATAACTGCTGACATAAAATAGGAGATTTACTAAAACTGGTTGACTCAGAATCTTTGGCACCTGTGCATGGTAGCCAATCAGCTTCTAACCTCAGCATGTTCAGTTAAGCTTCAGCAATAAAACCTGGAAGCTGATTGGTTTTTATGCAGAAGTGGACAAGATTCTGAGTCAATAAGGTTTAGTAAATAAACCCCAAAATCTCAGCCACATGGAGAGACATAACATTCACTGTTTTCAATCAGTCCCCAAATTGGTACACTTGCATTGTGAGAAAGAAACAAGAAGACTCAACTACTGTGAAGACCTACTATGCATGATGTAGAGCCTGCATATATGAGTAGTAAAAATGCCAGACCCATGTGCAGATATAATAACAAATGATAAGAAAATGGGTTATTGGATGCGAAGGTGGAACTTCACTCTCTCAGACAACATTGACTATTTTGAATCTTTATGCTGCTAGCATTAGTAAATAGATAGGAAACTATATCAGATTTCCTTGTTTTAAACTGTTTTTTACATTTCTTTTGTCACATCCTGGTTTCCATGACTTGGCAAATGATGTCATACATCCCAGTAGTCTTCAAAAGGGGAGGAGGGGCTTTCTCAGCTAAGCACTCCCTCTTGCCTGTGTGCCTGAACTAAGGGCAGATGGATTCCAGGAAGTAATTGCTACAAGAATCATCTACCCTTACTCAAGATGGTCACAGCCAGAAATTTTGTGTGTGTGTGTGTGTGTGTGTGTGTGTGTGTGTGTGTGTGTGTGTGTGTGTGTGGGGGGGGGGGGGGGGGTTTTCCTAGTGATTTTTCAGCAAAATAAAGCATGGAGGCATGGGAGGATGGGGGAGTTTGCTTTGAATATAAAAAATGAATTAAATAGTGCTTTTGGTCTGTGGTGCTCATACAGTGTAGTTCCACTTTAACGGGAACTGATAATATTAATTAGACTTAGCTGAACATTTTCTCATATAGATATAATACAAAAAAACAAAAAGAGAAATAGTTCTCCTTTCAGAAAAAGTAACTCAGATGGTGTTTAATTTCTGCAGGTTGAAAGATGTTTGCAGCACTTTTCACTGTCCATTGGACAATTGGAGAAGGTGAGGGATTTGATGCTAGACAACATGGAGAGAGGACTGCAAGTAAAACCAGAAAGACCGTCAACTTTAAAAATGCTTCCTACATATGTCCGCTCAACTCCAAATGGCACAGGTATAGTATAATAATTTGTTTCCAAATACTGTGTTGCGAATATAAAAAAATAATATACTCTTCAGATTGCAATAAGAATGAGGTCCATGTGTCTCTAGTGCTCATTGAGAGCTGTCTGGCTTGCAAGCCAAAAAAGAATGTAGGCACTCCTCAGATTATTATGTGACAGTGTTTGTGCCTGGGGATTAGCTGCTTAGGCCTCAGCCCTTCATCCGTGCAGTAAGGGGTAAAGGTCATATGCTATACTATACCTTGAAATATTAGGAATTTCTGAGAGCTCCAATGGTTGAACACAGTGCTGGGAGAGCTTCAATGGACAGGGTATGGCCTAAGACGAGAACCTGTCATTTTTCCCTGAAATTGCCGCCAAATTGACAAACTCTTTTAAAATTTGCTAGCCAAACATGGTTTACTTCATTCATGGACAGTGATTTATCATTAGTTGTTCTTTAGAACATGCCCCTTAAAATATAATGAAACACAAGTGTGTAAGTAAAGAATATCCCAAATTTTGGTTTTAACTGGGGTGCCTTCAAAGATAGGGAGAAAAAAGAAAAAAAGACAGACGTGGCGGGAGAGTTCCTTATGGTTTAGTGGTTTATCAATATATTTGGATGAAATATAGAAAGATTAGGTCAAATGCAATGGTGTACTCACACACAGTATGAGAGGTTGCTGAGCTCCCTAATGGGGGATCAGACAACCTGGAGTGAAAGCCAGCAGTGAATATGACTGTCCCTGTGCAGAGAAAGGTCTCACTCAATGCTCGGTGGGTTGATACAGATGACACTACACTCTGGTGTGTTCAAAGCAAGAGGTCTTGAGAAGTGGATTCTTCATTGATTTGATAGTTATTGCTCACAGAATAATATAAAACAGCATCAATGCGTTTTGTGGTACTACACTGGCCACTTCCTCAGGATGGTGCATAAAACACCTTAACCACCTCCCAACCGCGCCATAGCTGAAAGATGGCTACATCGCGGTGGTATAATTCTGGGAGGGCTTTTATAGATATCTTCCCAGAAACTTTGCCTCCCTGTTTGCCCCCAGGGCATGTGTTGGGCACGGTCTGTGATCGCTGTGTCCTTGGGACACAGCTGATCACAGATCAAGGTAAAGGGCCAATCAAAGTGGCCCTTTACCATGTGATCAGTTGGGCCCAAGCACAGCTGATCCCATGTAAACAAATGCTGGGTATTGATGTCACTGTGTGAGGAAAGGATAGTCAATTTCCAGCAATCCTGTGACAGCACACATTTACACTGATAACCACGGCACTGATCATCAGTGCCCTGATTAACAGTGCAGCCCCATCAGTGCCCATCAGTGCAGCCTATTAGTGTCCATCAGAGCAACGTATCAGTACCCATCAGTGCCCATCAGTTCTGACTTATCAGTGCAACCTCATCAGTGCCCATCAGTGCAGCTTATCAGTGCCGCCTTGCCAATGCAGCCTCATCAGTGCCCATCAGTGCAGTGTCATCAGTGAAGAAAAATTGCTTATTTGCAAAATTTTATAACAGAAACTAAGAAAAAGATTTTTTTTTATTTCACGTGTTTAGCAAAAATTAAAAACCCTAGGAAAGCTCAATCTGTCTAAAAAAAAAAAGATAAAATATTCATATGGGTACACTGTTGCACAACTGTGCAACAGTCATTCAAAGTGTAATAGCGCTGAAAGCTAAAACTTGGCCTGGGCAGGAAGGGGGTAAAAGTGCCCCATAGTGCCCAGTATTGAAGTGGTCAAACAGCTATCTTTTGTGCTGTTTGTTAGTACTCACTAACAAACAGCAGGAGAGATAGATCACAGCTGTTTAAAGGGTTTTATTCACCATTCTGAGGAAGTGACCAGTGTAGTGCCACAAAGCACGTTGACTGTGTTTTATAGAATTTTGTGAGCAATACATATCGAACAGGGGCGGACTGACAACTCATGGGGCCCCCGGGCAATAGGGGATCATGGGGCCCCTGTGTCCTTGCCCAAACTCAAAAAAGCATATGAAAAAGGTACCAGGGGCATCTCATGGGGCCCCCTACTGACCCTGGGCCCTCGGGCAGTGCCCTAGTTTCCAAATAGTCAGTCTGCCCCTGATATTGAATCATCATAGAATCAACTTCTCAGCTTCTCCTTCACATTCAGCATTGACACCACTTTCACATTTTTTGGGGGCTCAAAGACCTCTTATTGCACTTTTTGGGTTGTTACTAAAACAGGTTTAGATGGGACTCTGGTAACAACCATGAATTTCCTGATTTGGGAGCAATTTTTCTCTCACTTCCTGTTTTGGCTATGGGACAGGACATGAAGGGAAATCTCCCCAAAAGGACATAAATAGCAAACAACTTTACTACTACTACTTTAACTGCTTTTCATGAGTGATTACCCATGGGCATATGCAGTCATTGGGATGCCAAACACAAGCATTGGCAACTGTTTTATCTATGCTTGTTTGCGCAATCCTTTTTCTACATAGTGAGAATCATAATTTTGTTTTCAAGTGAAAAGTGTTTGTAATCTATGGTTTATATGTTATATTTAATGATATAATTAAGAGGTAATTGATCATAAAAAAAAATGTTAATAAACTGACAAACCTCATGCTGCAGGTGTGCTGTAGCATACCAGATGCTTTGAATTCTCTAGGATGAAAGCTAAGCTGTTTTCTTGAGTATAAAGTGAATTCGGGGCAAAGGCTGAAATGTACTGAACACTGGCTTGCCAGAAGCGCCCAAGATAAAGATATTCAAGGATCCTTGGAGGTTAATAACTGTAACATGAAAACAGTGAGATGTTTTTAAGATAATGCCTTGGTCAGGTCATCCTACCAAAGTCATTTGCTGTAGGTTAATGAAATTGCTAAGGTAGGTCATTGAGAGGACCAAGGCTATAGCTGTTGTCTGAAATTGGAGGAAATGCTGACTTCCCAACAAGCTAATATTGCTAAACATCTCTTACAAATGAAATGTGTAAATGAATCGACCGTTATATGCAGGAGCCACGAAGACTAGAGACCTGGGACCAGAAAATCTTTTTAATAACTTCTGCCTGCTTATACTGTCCTGTTAGCTATAGTATTGAATGGCTCCATTTTTCAGATCTGGCAATAAACATATATGGAGCTGTGTAGTTATGACTTGGCTCAGGATGAGCAGACAGATCTACTTTATGTGTTTGATTAGCAAAACAGCAAGCAAAAAAAAATATTGCCACAAAAGGATCGCTAAGCCTCATTTATTTTAACACATCCTTACAAAAAGAATCTGGTCACAAAGTAGCAAGGAATGTTCAAGAGGCTATTCAGTCTCCCCCTTATCAGCTTTCATGTGATACAAAATGAGTGGATTATAAAACACGCATAATGAATTAGATGACAGACACATAGAGCAACCAGTGTGACTACATATTTTCAGTTATACTACAATTTATACTTTATGGTTTTTATAATTTTATTATAACATTGCAATCATTAGTTCTTTGTTTTCTCAAATTGTAAAAGTATTATGACAAGATGAATGTACAACTAGAACGTATTCTGCTCTTTCTTTTTCAGCTAGTGACTTTATCAGAAATTAAGTGCCAGTATGATGTCTGGAATAGTTTTTGCTAAAATAAAATAAAAGAGAGATAATCGTAGAATGAACTGACTGCATTTAATGTGATCAAGAGCACTTCCCTCCCACTCAAATGCTGTTGGCTGCCCCAAAGTTGACTTTCTTGTCTCCATGGACTGCAGTGTTACCTTTAGCCTTTTCATTCTTTCCTCCAGAAAAGTAAAAACAAAAAAAAAAAAAGAAAAGAGATGCAGTCACTACATTTAACCAGAGCATTTTTTGCTATTCAGCACTGTGCTACTTTAACTGGCAATTGCGCAGTCATGTAAAACTGTACCCCAATGAAATTTATATTGTTTTTTTCCACACAAATAGAGCTTTCTTTTGAAGGTAGTTGATCACCACTTTTTTTTTTTATTTTTTATTATATAAATAGAAAAAAACAAAATTTGTGGAAAAAAAAATTGTTTTCTACTTTCTGTTATAAAACTTGCAATTAAAAAAAATCTAATTTCTCCATAAATTTAGGCCAGAATGTATTCTGCTACATGTCTTTGGTAAAAAATAATCCCAATAAGTGTATATTAATTTATGTGATAGTTATAGCATTTACAAACTATGGTATATATACTGGAATTTACCCAGCTATACACGAACTGTAATGGCAGTAATCAGCAACACCTAGATTGTAAGCTCGAAAGAGCAGGGCCCTCGATCCCCTCATGTTTTGCATTGTATTGTTATTGTTCTGTCACATGTTCTGTCCCCCTTTGTAATGTACAGCGCTGAGCGAACTATTGGCGCTTTATAAATACTGTATAATAGAAATAGTGGGATTGTGATAGTGTGGTGTGCAATCTGGTGATAAGTGACATTGGCTGGGAGGGTCACTAACTGACACTGACATTGCTAGTGACACTACTGTACACTGACATTGCACTAATGACACTGGCTGGAAAGGGGCTAAGATCGGCTTGGATGTCACTCCACTTCCTCAAACTCAACCTTTCCAAAACTGAGCTCCTAGTATTCTCCCCCCTGCCCGTGCCCCCTCCACTGACTTCACCATAAATATCGATAACGCAATCATTAGTCCATCCCCACATGCCAGGGTACTAGGTGTAATCCTAGACTCCCATCTGTCCTTCCAGCCCCAGATCCAATCGTTGACAAAATCATGTAGACTTCACCTCCGCAACATCTCCAAGATATGTCCGTTCCTAACCCCGGAAACCACTAAGCAACTTATTCACTCCCTTGTCATATCACGCCTTGACTATTGTAACTCCCTCCTCATTGGCCTACCTCCTCGCAGGCTATCCCCTCTTCAGTCTATCATGAATGCTACTGCCAGACTCATCCACCTTACTAACCGTTCTGTATCAGCCACCCCTCTCTTCCAATCCCTCCACTGGCTCCCAGTTGCCCAACGGATAAAATTAAAA